CGCATATGAAAGTTTAATCTCAAATATTTAATTCATTTTAAAAACTAAAAACAATGCATTTGCATTCATTTTTGTTTATTTTTTATTGATATGTAATTGACATATAACATTAGCTTTGGGTATACGGCATGATGATTTGATATTTGCATAGACTGTGAAATGGTCACAATCTAGTTAACATCCAGAATTACACATAGTTACAAATATTTTTTTTCTTGTAATGAGAACTTTTAAGACCTAGTTTCTTAGCAACTTTCAAAACTTTTGCATTCACTTAAAAATGTGTTTGATAGCTATGTTTGGACTATCTTAATAATATAAAATTTACATCATCTGAAAATATATAAGAATCTATCTACCTTCAGAAATACAGTGAGGTTTATCATTCAGCAACATTTTACTTTATTTTTTAAATATATATTTTATTGATATCAGAGAGGATGGGAAAGGGGAGAGAGAGATAGAAACATCAATTATGATAATCAGGAGAGAGAGAAGATAGAAATATCAATGATGAGAGAGAATTATTGATTGGCTACCTCCTACAGGTTTGGGATTGGGCCTGCAACCCAGGCATGTGCCCTTGACTGGAATCAAACCCAAGACCCTTCAGTCTTCAGGCCGACACTCTAGCCACTGAGCCAAAACAGCCAGGGCTCATTCAGCAACATTTTCATTTATTTATTAGGTTCAAGAAAGTCATACTTACTTTCCAACTGGAAATGCCTGCCTCCACCTCCCAAATGAAGAATATTTTGGTTGTTTCCAATTTGGACAATCTATATATATATATATATAAAGGCAGTGTCCATGACAACCAGGATGACCAAACGACCAGTCACCATGAGGTAGCATTGACCACCTCTCGGTCCCTCCCTGCCCCTCCTCCCCCAGCCCATGAGCGGGGTGGGGTGGGACTTGGGACTGGTGAGCGGGCTGAATGGCTGACCTCTTGGTCCCTGCCCCTGGCCCGCAGGCTCTGATGGATCAGCGATGGTGAACGGGGGAATTGGGGTGGGTGGCGGGAGGACCAGGCTGGCTGTCAGGCTGCGGGATCACCAGCTCATCCCCAGCTGCTCAGGGGCTCAGGCCTGCAGGAAAGCAGGCGCCAGTGACTTCACCTCCACGCGTGTGCACCGGGCTGGCCGCTGATGGAGCACGTGGGCCGCTCACACCAGGGCGGGTAGGTCACGGGCGAGCCCCGCAGCTTCCGTCAGCACCTCAAGCCCCAGCGGCAGCGGGGGTGGCAGCGTGAGCGGCCTAAGCGGGCAGCGCGTTCCATCAGCGGCCAGCCCAGCGCACACGCACATGGGCACATGGAGGTGAAGTCTCCAGCGCCCGCTTTCTCACAAGCCTGAGCCCCAAGCAGCCGGGGAGGAGCTGGTGATGCCACC